ACCACCTACAACTTATTCAGTTTAACGTTCAGCCAGAGCAAGCCAGCTACGGTAATCTAAGACTGAAGAGGACGTTTTCCTGATCGAAAGTGGAAGACGTCTTGGTTAAGACGTGTTCATGAGAGCAGATTTAAAGCGCAAAATGGGCTCTGCTTCGATGACGGGCTGGAGAAGGCTCAGGTCACCCGTCTCGTCTTAGACTCTCTCACTTTTCACTCCCTTCCCACCTCCCCCGTCCAGTGTTCCCTCTAAACTGAGTTAGTGTGAGCCGGCTCACAGGTTTTAGCCTCCGGCTCACACATTTTTGTCTTAGCTCAGACACCACCTACAACTTATTCAGTTTAACGTTCAGCAAGAGCAAGCCAGCTACGGTAATCTAAGACTGAAGAGGACGTTTTCCTGATCGAAAGTGGAAGACATCTTGGTTAAAACGTGTTCATGAGAGCAGATTTAAAGCGCAAAATGGGCTCTCTGCTTCGATGACGGGCTGGGGAAGGCTCTTAGACTCTCTCACTTTTCACCCCCTTCCCACCTCCCCCGTCCAGTGTTCCCTCTAAACTGAGTTAGTGTGAGCCGGCTCACAGTTTTTTAGCCTCCGGCTCACACATTTTTGTCTTAGCTCAGAGAGGAGGGCTCCCTGTAGCCAAATTGCTTGCTCACAACTTGAATGCCAGGAGCTCACAAAGTGGAATTTTCGCTCACAAGACTCCACCGCTTAGAGGGAGCATTGCCCCCATCCTGTTTTTCCTGTGCCACTAAAAGCTTCCTGGACCTTCCATCCCCACCCCATCCATCCCCACATCTTTTTCTAAAGGTAAAGGTCAAGGTCTCCCTTGCTCAAAAGCCAGTCGAAGTCATCTTTTTCTACCTGGTGCACAAAGACCAGGCAAAAAGAAATGGGTGTGCCTCACTTCAAACATCTGCTCCTGCTTCTAGTTCTGCTTCTATGCACTTCCTCACACTGCCACTGAAGTACAGATGCCTCTCGGCTCAGAACTCCCATTCTCATATTCACCTTTTTATGAACTGTCTTCGGATCGACGTTTGTCACTATGAAGTCCCGAAGCCGGGCAAAAATGTTAGTCTCCTTGGTCTTGGCAGAAACAGATGCCTCCATACCTGATTAACGCAGAGAGACACACACAGTACACAGAATGAAAAGGGCAAGGGGGTTGGAGTAGGTGACCTCTAGGATCCCTTCTAACTCTGTGTCAAGAAACTGGTCTCCTTGAAGGGCGTTTTCCTGCCTGAGTGTTGGCTTTCTTGATTACAGAAGTCATCACCCCCCACCTGCCGGCTTGAACTCCAGCCCCACCAGAAAAAATATTTGCCCCACAAGCCACAAAATCCTGGCTACGGGCCTGTAAGGCTCCTCAGCTGAGTGGAGCGGTAGTATTCGACTCACTACTGATGCTATCCCAAGCGACGGAATGCTTTTACCTTGTATTCGTATATCGGCAGTATCGGTCTTCTGGTCGCAGACCAAAACGTTGAAGGCGTTCAGCTTGGCAGTGAGCTTCAAGTCGCACACATTGTCGTGGACCACGGCAGAGGGAGCTGTCAGGCAGAGAGGGGAGTCAGTCAGTGTCACACACATCACAGTGGTAACTCATCTTTGCGGTTTCAGAGGGGAGTGCTATTTCCCCCTCCCCAGCTGTGAATTCTGTGTGGCGTTTCTTTCCTGCTCCGTGGCAGGCCGGGAAGCATCCACTACGAGTTCTCGCCGGCTTGCCACGATTCATATGTAGACATCTGAGGAAGGTATCTGACCAACGGAGCTCTGACTCCCACACCCTGAAAATCTCGTTGTTCTCTAAGGTGCTGCTGGACTCGAACCCAGCTCTTCTACCACAGACCGACACGGCTGCTCTCCGAAACACAGACTATCCCCTAACCAGAAGACATGGGGTCCCTACACCGCAATACCTGGTTTGGCAGCAGCTGTTTTGGGCTCCTCGGACGGCAGCTTTGCTTCTGCTTCCTTCTCGGCGGATGTAGGACTGCTGGACGCCACACTGTACGTGACGAAATTCATGATGGAAAGCAAGGCCTCCGTGTGCAGGAGGAGATCTAAAGACGAAAAGGACACCTGAGAGGGAGACGAACAAACATCAGAGGCGCGTCCCAGGTAGGAAGAGTTTTCAGTCCTTTCATTACAAGGAATTGGCATTTAATTGATCATCCGTTAAATGCACCTCCCAAATTGTCTTGCGGCACCTTAAACTTTAGCAGTTTTACTGTGTCATGAGCTTTTGCCAGATGCATGAAATAGACACTGGCTTGTAAAAAAACCTATGCCACAATATGCTTCTTAAGTCTTTAATGGGCCAGAAGATTCTCGTTAATAAAAAGTTATACTTTTCCGGCACATGCTGACTCTCTAGTCAACGTATAATAAAAAAATACACCACCTGAAAGGGTTTGATTCAGTTAACCTCGATTTTGCTATTATCCATGATATCTTGCAGTTGAATAAAAATATCCTGTTATTGTTCCCACTACTTTTTTTTTGTTTTGCAATATGCCCCGATGAAGTCGATTTGCACCGTTTTGTGTCAATAATAAATTATTTAAAGAAATAAATTATAGTTGGTCCTAACAGAAGGTATTACATAGTTTCTGCCTTTTGGGGGCTCTTGATTTTGGGCCAATGCACCCGGAAACAGAAACTGCTACAAAAGTGACATCAAGGTACCGTGTGTTACAACAACTGAGCTTGCAATAAATGTTTCTACTTACGTCTAGCGCTTGCTTTGTACTTTTGTAAACTGTTGCAAAGTGTGGCCCATCTTCATCAGCCTGTGCAAAGAAATTATCTTTCAGACTGCTGCAGCTCATGTAGCTAAATCAGCGACCATTAGAGAGAGCGAGAGAGCATCAAACTGTCCTTTTTCCAGACATGTGGTTGGGGATTCCATGGATGAGAGGAGGGAGTGAGAAGGTAAAGGCTTTTTGGGGTTTCATTTTGGTTTTCTGTGCAAATTCGGAATACAGGTTGCAGTTTTTTTCCAGGGAAAACCAGATCACATCCTGGTCACGATATAACAAAAACTAAAGACCAATATTCTGTCTGCAACAGAGGCCAAACATCCACCCACAAAAACATAAGGCACCCATATATAAACAAAGTCAGTTTCTTCCACTAGTCTTATTAACGGTGAAAGCTAATGTTCAATTTAATCAAATCGTAGGCTTCATTTAATATCGGTTATTTCATTTTGATCCTGCATATCTGAGTACAAGCCAGTTTGGTGTACAGGTTAAGTGCAGCAGACTCTAATCTGGAGAACAGGGTTTGATTCCCCACTCCTGCACATGCAGCCAGGTGGGTGACCTTGGGTCAGTCACAGTTCTCTCAGAGCTCTTTCAGCCCCACCTACTACACAGGGTGTCTGTGGTGGGGAGAGGAAGAAAAAGAGGTTGTAAGGTGCTCTGAGACTCCAAGTGAAGGGTGGGGTATAAATCCAACTCTTCTTCGCCTTATTACTATCAAAATGACTTGAAGACGCCTCCCTCCCCCCAATGGTTTTTAGTGAAGGAAAACACCGAACCTTTATATATTCCATCTTTAGAAGATGCTCATCAGCTTCAGCAGAAGAATTAAGAATATTCAGTGGATCTCCTTTGGAGTCTGTGGAGAAAAGACAATTGCAGCACTATATTAATTAGGGTATCACTTAACTCAACAAATGCCTAGAGGAATGTCTCCACACATAAAGATTCTCCCGTCTCTCAGAGTACGGGGGGGGGGGGGGAACTACCCTAGTAACCTCCTTGCTTTTTAAAAAATATCCGTACATTTACCCCTGAACCCACAGAGTTAGAACAACTGAAAAAGTAGGCAAGAGCACAGCAGAAGATGAGAGGGGGAACTTGAAGAGTAATTTCTAAAATTGCACAAATAGGAAAAATAGACATGAGTGCCAGTTTCTAAAAAGTTACACACATCGAACACTTAGGAAACCTGAACCCTTAGGTAAATGCTCTCACATGAAGACATCATTCGTATCCTCTCCGTGACACCGTGCCGCCAATCGGTAAACCGAGCGTGACTCACCTTTAAATTCAAGGCACTTCATGGTGATTTTCTTTAGGTACGCTGTAGCAGACATGTCATGCGTTCTAATTCTGCCTTCGGTTCCCAGCTGCGACACTGCTAAAGTATGCATAGGGACACTCTTCTTTTCCACCTGCTTTGTTAGTTGTACTACAACCTAAGGAAGTGTATACAGACACACACACTTGGGATGATTTGTGAGTTACAGTAAAAAACGCTTGCTAGGATTCACTGCAGCAGATTAGTTATGGACAACTGTATTACTCCATGTATCTTTACATTTTGATTTTTCCAAGGCATCTACGTGTTGTAAACTGGACTCCTCTGGTTTGTATTAGCATGAAAGTCTTCCCAAGGGGAAACGTTCAAGAAAAGAATGAAGATAAAGCATACAACTAAACTCCTTAGGAACGTCCGAGAAAACCCTTCTGGCTTGCTGTTGAGCTTGGTCAAGACAGCCGTCATCTAGCTAATAAATGAGGGTGATTTCACGCTTGCCCACTGCCCCAGAGGAGCCATGGTACCTATCCTCCAAACAGAAGGCAGAAGGAACCCGAGATTTAGGCTGAGAGTCTGTTCGCAGTCATACCTCTTTGATTTCAAAGTTAAGCAGCACGCTGGTAATATCTTCCTGCAAAGCTTCTTTCGATGTGGCCAACAATTTACTTCCCGATGGGGTCTCTTTGTGAATGCCCAGTGATACCGGTGATTCTTTCAAACTGCCTGCCAAGTCCAGAGACAGGTTAACTCCTCTTGAAAAAAAGAAGCATTACTATTCTTCATTCACATACATGCACCCCTTTATGTCTAGTTTAAGAAATATGTGTCCTTCCTCTGGAAATAAACACTTCCTCCCACAAACTACATTCGGAAATACACAATGCATCAACGTCATCTTTGGGATGGATCTGGGTTTAAAGGAAAGGCGAGGTATCCACAGCAGTCCCTATTTATTTGGAGTTATATATTATATTTATTCGCAGTATATATACTCCTAAAGAGCAGGAACAGAAAGCTCCTGGCTTTCAGGCGGGTAGCCAGGATTTTGTGGCTTGTGGGGCAATTTTTTTTCTGGTGGGGCTGAAGTTCTCAGTGCAGGAAAACAGAAAGCTGTTACCGGGATAGATCTCTACACTGCAAGATGTCAACCACTTTAGATGACAGTTCTCAGCTGCCGCAAGTTTGATCACTTCCGCCAGCCTAAGCAACAGTTCTGAGAACAAGCAGGCAGGTGGGGGGTGATGATTTCTATAGTCAAGAAAGCCAACACTGAGGCAGAAAAACTCTTTTTAAAGGAGACCAGTTTCTTGACACAAAGTTAGAAGGGATACTAGAGGTCACCTACTCCAACCCTCTTGGCTCAGTGTGGGGATTCTGCTTAAAGGCGTGCACGCCTTTAAAAAAAGTTTTAAAATGATTGAAGAAAGCATATAAAGTAAAAGAAAAAGGATATAAAGTTTTTTTTTTAAAGGACCATGGCCATTCCATTAAAACTGGTCCTAGCCCTTCAAGGGGAAGGAACAGCCTTAGAACTGCCCACAAGAGAAACTGAACACAGACAATGTAGAGCTTGAAGAAAGATAGCTTTTTTTTTTACCTTCACTCGGTGTCCTTGGTTTCACCTCGCTTACGTTTTTGTTTGCTTCAGCAAGGTTTTCTGTCAGTACCTTAAGCAGAACATTCAAATCCTCTTGACTTAGGATAATCTAAAAAAAAAAGTAGCATATAACTTCGTAGGGCCCACTTACATTTCTTCAAGCTTGCATTGACGTGTTCAGACACGGGTGACGCAGTAGAGCAGTTCCGTACCAGGGACCCACCCGATGTTGGGCCATGAAGGGCAAAGGATGTTATCACTTGCCGCTTCCATCTTCACTGTCCCCTAGTTACACACTTTTCAGAATGTGCCATGGATTTGCTCACTTACTACAGAGCTGTCAACAGCAATTCACACGGTTTGTATGTCAAAAGCCCAGACAGGCTGCAGTTAAAAGCATGGAGGTTCGACTAAAGTAGTACATGCACTGATTCATTTGATATGCATGGAAGAGAAGAAGAGAAGAGGAGACTGGATTTATACCCCGCCCTTCACTCAAGAGTCTCAGAGCCACTTACGATCTCCTTTCCCTTCCCCTCCCCACAACGGACACCCTGTGAGGACTGCTCTTGAGAGAACAGCTCTGAGAGAATTTGTGAAAGACCCAAGGTCACAGCAGCAGCTGCAAGGGGGAGAGTGGGGAATCAAACCCAGTTCTCTCAGATTAGTGTCTGAGCTCCTAACCACCAAACCAAACTGCAGTGAGCTAAAGGCCAGGTGTCGTAAGTCAGTCTGTGCTGAGTGATGACTCAGATTTCTCAGATGAAGAGCTACCTGCTAGCTCTCAGCTGGTAATTAACAGCAGGCTGCAGCTGGCTCTGAGCCAGAAGGAGAACAAGAGATCAGGTTACAGCTGATCAGGAGTCACAGCCTACACCAGGATCCTCCCGGGCATATGTACAGTTAAGATTCTCCTTCTCTTTCTCTCTGTTCCCTGAACAGTGGCCTTCAATGTAGCAACAGACGCCGTTTATTTAAAACTTGGTGGAGAGCAGGTTAAAACCAGATGGGCAAAGACCACAGTGGGATCCTGCGGGGAAAACTGCATACAAACGTTTTCACATGCTTCTCTGTATCACAGCCTCAAGACCCTACAAAGAAATCTACTGTAACAGAAGCGGATGCATCTGAAATCAAAATCCACTTACATTCATCTTATCTAGATATCCTTTGATTTCCATCATGGGTATTTTGTGATACCATGTTCCAGCCAGGTTGCGGTTCACAGAAAGGTTCAGGTTAATCGGATGCAGGATTTGGATGTCAGGCTGGGAAAAGCCTGGCTGCAAGCAAGTCCTAGACAAAAACAAAAATGAGATCCTAAAAGTATCGCCATACATAGCTCCACAGCTCAGGCCCACTAAGGACATTTTAAACTTCTGTTTGATCACCATTATTATATAATTATTTTTCCGAGCACAATAAAGTTCACATAAGCAAATACATTAAGCAGAAACTGAGTCTATCAGTTTCATTGAGAAGTAATTCTTACTAACACCCTGCTGCGCTGCACATCGTTCAAGGTACATTCACTCCTCACGCTCTGCAGAGAACTTCCAACCCAGCAGGAGCCTCAGGTTAAGAACACAAGAACACAAGAGGAGCCAATGCTGGATCAGGCCAATGGCCCATCCAGTCCAGCACTCTGTGTCACAGTGGTCAAAAATACCAGGGGCCATCAGGAGGTCCACCAGCGGGGCCAGGACACTAGAAGCCCTCCCACTGTTGACCCCCCCAAGCACCAAGAATACAGAGAGCATCACTTGCCCCAGACCGAGAGTTCCTATAAGAACATAAGAGAAGCCAATGTTGGATCAGGCCAATGGCCCATCCAGTCCAACACTCTGTGTCACACAGTGGCCAAAAATACCAGGGGCCATCAGGAGGTCCACCAGCGGGGCCAGGACACTAGAAGCCTTCACATATTGCTTTTATTGCTACAAAAAGAAAATGTGCATTTTTCTGAGCAGGCTACATGCTCAAATCTGTCTCCAGAAAGAGTAGGGACAGAGTCTACTTTGGGAGAGCACTGTCTGAAAGCACTGTATAAATTATTAAATGCGGTACAGGCTAATTGCATCCCCTTGCAACAAGGGTGTGAGGCACGCACAGATCTCAGACTCCCAAAGAACTGAGAACTCACCCTGGAATAAATATCCCCGAGCAGTCCCAGGTTTGGAAAGACCAAGATGGGTAGCTGTGTTAGCCTGCCTGTAACAGGAGAAAAGAGCAAGAGTCCGGGAGCACCCTGAAGTCAAATTCATGGCAGGGGAGGCGCTTTTATGAGTCACTGCTCACTTCTTCAGATAGATCAAGACGGGTAGCCGTGTTAGTCTGTAGCAGTAGAAAAGAGCAAGAGTCCGGGAGCACCCTGAAGTCAAATTCATGGCAGGGGAGGCGCTTTTATGAGTCACTGCTCACTTCTTCAGATACAGCTAGAAGGGGGAGTTCATCTGTCCAATATACAGGACAGATGGACTCACATTCTAGCTGTATCCGAAGTAGTAAACACGTGAAAAGATGGTCAACCTGGCGATGCAAAGTGTTTCAACTCACCTGGCCATCTTCAGCTTTGTCAGCTGCACATCCATTCTGTCCATCACCGGCGGGAGCAAACAGCCCTCGGCCGAAACCAAGCTGAACTTGTTCTGGACCCTGATCAGCCCCAGGTCGACGACGACAGCGTTGTGAGACACTGAAGACTGCGGGATGAGGATGACAGGAGCCTTCAGGTGGATGTCCATGGAGAGTCGGAAGCTCCTCTGGGCCAAGTCCCTCACGCTCGTGGCTGCTTTTTCCGCCGCTTGGACGGTAGCGGCGCTCAAGGCCTCTTTGGCCACCTGGAAGTTGCTCAGGAAGTTCTGCAACCGAGAGGAGAAGGGGGCGTGGAGAACAAGAATGCTTCCTTCAGCCTTGCTCAGAAAAGCATTGTACATTTTATGTATTTTTGACTCCGGCAGCTAAGACATAGCCAGAATATAGCTCCACAGCCTCCACAAGCCTCTGCTTCTTAAAAAAAATATATACCCTGTTTTCCCGAAAATAAGACCTACCCAAAAAATAAGCCCTAGCAGGATTTCTATGTATTTGTGGTATAAGCCCTACCCCGATAATAAGACCTAGTGATGAGAGTTATGACGATGTTCCAGAAGAAGATGACTTAACTGTATTTGAATAAATGTAGATTGTTGTATTATACTTAATAAAAATAAGACATACCCTGAAAATAAGCCCTAGTGTGTCTTCTTGAGAAAAAATAAATATAAGACAGTGTTTTATTTTCGGGAAAACATGATATATATTATTTAATCACATAATATTACAACCTCTCAATAGAACAGAGTACAGTCATTCAAGTATACAGAACTGAAATACTGAATGGTTACTTTTTGGCTGGTTATCGATTAAACACGGACTTGAAATCCATAGTAATACTTCACTCTGGCACACAGTCAGACTTACCAGAAGTGCCATAAGGAACTTGTGCAGATACACAATCTGAATACAGCCCACTTTGAGAGACACTGTCCCATCCACCTTGGACATGTCTGTGTAAGCGTCTCCCTCCGTAGCATTTGGGTACAGTGCCAAGTTGAAGCTGAAGACTTCATCACCAACTATGGAAACAGCCTGAGGGGGTGGAGGGAAGCAAGCATCTTATTTAAGAACATCAAAACAGCCCTGCTAGATCAGACCAGTGAAGGTCCATCTAGTCCAGCATGCAGTCTCCCACAGGGGTCAACCAGTTCCTCTGGAGGGCCAACAACAGGGCATAGAGGCTGAGGCCTTCATAAGAAACTCAGAAAAGCCCTGCTGGATCAGACCAGTGAGGGTCCATCTAGTCCAGCATCCAATCTCCCAGAGGGGTCAACCAGTTCCTCTGGAGGGCCAACAACAGGGCATGGAGGCTGAGGCCTTCCCCTGATGTTGCCTCCTGGCTCTGGGACTCACAGGTTTCATGCCTATGCACGTGGAGGTTTCCCTCAGCCAGCAGGGCTAGTATCCATTGATAAGACTTATCCTCCGTGAATCTATCTAATCCCCTTCTAAAGCTGTTTATTCCTGTGGCCATCATGACATCCTCTGGCAGAGAATTCCACATTTGAATCACTCTCTGTGTTAAGTAGTATTTCCTTTTGTCTGTCCTGAACCTACTGCCCATCAGCTTCATTGGATGCCCTCGGGTTCCAGTCTTTTGGAAAAGGGAGAAAAAATTCTCTTCGTCAACTCTCTCCACCCCATGCATAATTTTAGAAACTTCTATCATGCCCCCCCCCTTTTCTAAACTGAAAATTTCCAGGCTCTTCAGCCTTTCCTCAAAGGGGAAGGTGCTCCAATCCTCTCGTCATCTGGGTTGCCCTCCTCTGCACCTTTCCTAGAGACGGCGACCAGAACTGTACCCAGTATTCCAAATGAGGAGACACCATAGATCTTTCCAGGAGCATTACAATATCAGCCATTTTAGTCTCAGTCCCTTCCCTAATAATCCCTAACATACAGTTTGCCTTTTTCACCGCTGCAGCACACGGGGCTGGCACTTCCACGGAGCTACCCACTGCGACCCCAAGATCTTTTTCCCTCTTAGCCTCAGCAAGTTCAGACCCCGTCAGCCTATACTGGAAGTCGGGATTTTTTTTGTCCCTATGTGCATCACCTTATATTTACCAACACTGACCTTCATCTGCCACATTGACACTGACTCACCCAGTTCGCGAAGGTCCTCTCCGAGCTCTGCACAGTCAGCCTTGGTTTTCATAACCATGAATAGTTTTGTGTCACTGTGTCACTTTTGTCACAAGCAACACTGTTCTATGAATTACCATCCACACAATACATTCAAACTCAGCACTTCACATACCTTTTTATGAATTGTCCTTGAATCAACATCTGTAACAATTATATCTTTCAGCCGCGCAAACAGGGTAGTTTGGCTGGACTGAAGAAATAGAGATGAGTCAAGACCTGAAAAAGAAGAGCTGGTCAATGCAAATATTTTAATAATTCCCCCCAAACTGCTAACAAGTCATCAGGGTCCTATAACCAGGTATAACTAAGCCAACACACACACACACACACACACACATTTCCCATTACCTTGAATTTTTATTTCAGCAATATTGCTCTTCTCGTCACAAACATTCAAATAGAAGGCGTCCAACTTGGCAAACAGCTTGAAGTCAAACACGTCCTTGTCTTTATTCAAGCCAAAAGCATTACCAAAGGATACTGAAGATACCCTTGCAGAGCACTTTATATATATTAGAAGAACAGATGGGATGTATACCCCGCCCTTCACTACCCAAAGGTGTCTCAGAGTGGCTTACAAACTCCTTTCCCCTCCCCCTCCCCACAACAGACACCCTGAGAGGTAGGCGGGGCTGAGAGAGCTCTTGACAGAAACGGCTCTTTTCCAAGAACAGCTCT